AGACTAGAACTACCTTTATAGAGACTGGCTATGATAACAGAATCTTGCAAGTCTGATTGTGCTGTATTTCCTTCCACTTCTTGTATCCCAGTGAATCAGGAAGGCATTTGTCTGAGCCACTTCCAGATATAATCTTGTTTCTCAGGGCTTAAAAATGTTTCAGCCCCCTTTGCCTAGATAACAGTTCTTGCATGTTTCGGTCAAGGTCATCTTCCTTACTCTCTGCAGGAACTCAGAGGAACCAGAGACCCAAGAAAGAGTCCCTGTCACTGGAGCTGTGCAATCAGTTTGAGATCCACCCCTGATGACTTGGAGAAGGGTTTATGCCCAACATTCCAGGGACAGGAAGGAGAGAAATTGGGCTTCCTCATAGGTGAGGCTGTCCCAAAGAGAAAAAGGTATGTGGCATAGATGGTTGACCCACTCCTGAAAAGAACGTAGTCAGCAATCTACAGACCAAGGGAAGTTTGGTGCCTTCCAGATGCAAAGATCCAGGATGTGATGGCCAACTTATCAAACTTACTGACCACTATGTTTTTCTTCTGTTTCATGATGGAATAAATGACACTTCCAGAAAGACCCTGGAAGGAATGCAGTATTGGACCAAGGAGTTAGGTAGAAAGAACTAAGTATGTTTAGCCTAAAGTATGTGTGCCCCTAGGGCGGTACACATTACACCTCTGCTTTGTGAGCTGCACTGGTTGCCGGTTTGCTTCTGGGTCCAATTCAAGATGCTGTTTTGGACCTTTAAAGCCCTTCATGGCATGGGGCCGGGTTACCTGTGGGACTGCCTCTCCCCGATTACATCTGCCTGTCCCATCAGATCTGGCAGAGAAGGTATGCTGCGGATCCTGTCTGCTAGAGATTTACATTTGGCGGATCCCAGGAGGTGGTCCTTCTCTGTTGTGGTGCCTGCCTTGTGGAATCTTCTCCCCCTGGAAGTGAGATTATGTAGCTCCATCCTTCTTAACATTCTGTAAATACCTCAAGACCTGGTTATGTGATCAGGCCTGGGGCTCCCAGGGGACTGGGAAGATTTTACGATGGCTCCCTTATTAATTTTATCCCTTTCTGTTTTGTGTGTTTTTTACAGTTTTTTATGTGTAACTGTTTTATGTATTTATTTTTTAATTGTTGTA